ACGACACCGGGATTGGGGGTCTGTAGCAGGAGGATACGTTTTCTAACGACGTTCCCGTCACATGCCGCTCTGTGAGCCAGCCTCTTACAGGGACGGACGGGAGAGGACGCAGGAGCTGGGCCTCTGTCAGCCAGGGACCAGGGCGCCAGGCTGATGTCGCCTGGAGGAGTTTGTGCCGGATGCTGGGCGTCTGCCAGCTGCTCGCAGACATGGAGAGGATTATTGTGCTGTATGAGGAAGTCAAAGGGACCCTCTTTAGGGGCCGAGAGTTCTTGACCCACAGACCCTGTAGCTGCTCCTGGGACCAGTGGCCAGAGGAGGAGTTGCGGACAGGCGAAGAGATCCGGCTGGGCACTCGGAGGCCGGGCCAGGCTCGGCTGCGGACCTCGGCAGGCTCCTGGGGCCGCCTGGTCTGGGGCCAGGCCTCGCCGTCTGTAAATTGGGCATCTGGATAAGGCAGCGTTTTGGCCCCTTTTGCCTCTGGCCTATGTCCTGCGGATCTCCCATGTGCCAGGGCTGCCCAGGCAGCTGGCCGCCCAGAGGCCACCATCCACTGCGATACTCCCTGGGTCTCAGAAGAGCATAGCCCCCTCCCGTGTGTGGGCTGTCCTGCTCGAAGCGGGCAGGTGCGGTTCAGAGCTTCTCCATGAGCCAGTCACTTCCGGCAAGAGGCCCTCGGTCTAGGGAGGGCGAGTGGAAAGGAGTGTGGCCTCGAGAGGCAGCCGGCCCCTGTGGGCAGAGGGGAGCATGGCCACTGGGCAGGGCCTTGTAATTTGCTGCACGAGGCTCTGGTCTCGTCAATGACACAGGAGGTTTCATGTGCTTGAGGGAGCCCGTGGGCCGAGCCAGCCGAGTCCGGGGCCCACCCGCTCCCAGAATAGCAGCGGGAGCTGTGTGCAGGGGTGTCCCTCACTGTGTCCTTCTCACGTGCAGGGGGAGATCGGCCCACCTGGTCCCAGAGGAGAAGATGGCCCCGAAGGCCCTAAGGGTCGTGGAGGGCCGAATGGCGACCCCGGTCCCCTGGGGCCCTCTGGGGAGAAGGTACGTGGCACAGGGGACTACTTCCTGCGGACAGGCCTCTCTTTCCCAGTGGCCTCGGGCATCCAGGCCGGCGCATCGATCGGGCTGAAGCCCCAGAGGGGCCATGTGGTTCCCAGTGCCTCCACCCTGACACTCCCGCTAGCCCCACAGTGAATCTGCGTGTGGACAGATCCACCCTTCTGGTCTCGAGTTTGTTCCATCCGAGCCCTTTGCCACCTCCGGAAGGGTCCCGCCTCCAGGCACCCACAGAGCGTGGGGTCCACATCAGTTTCCACGTGCACCAGCTTTCGGGGGGGACTCTCTACGAACAGCTGTTCTAACACCTGCCGGCTCCAGGAGGCCACTTGCCCACCCTTCGTCCTGTCCCCGTCACCCCCCAGCTCAGGCACAGGAACGAGGGCTCATCAGCGGCCCAGACACCTGCCCCGTCTTGGCCCAAGACTAGAACTTTACACAGGGCCGGGCAGAGTCTCCCGACAGCGAATTCTTCCATCCGGCCTTTGCCTCCAACCAATTTCGTTTCAGCCGTGGCATCAGTCCCTTCTCGAGGGGCCTTTGCTTTTAAACCAGGGCTGGCGGACCAGAGAGACCATCCCAGAAGGACGGGCAGGGGCCGCCCCTGACGACCGTGTCCTTCAAGAAGCGCTGCGCCAGCCCTGCAATGCACCCCCTTTTTCTTCACAGGGAAAACTCGGAGTCCCAGGGTTACCAGGCTACCCAGGAAGACAAGGGCCAAAGGTAACGCACGACAGGACAGCCACGGGCCCCTCCCCACCCACGCACTGTCACCCATTTGCCACCTTTCGGATGTGACAAAACAGATGTCACATCGACTGTGTCTCTCAGCTCTGCCTGTGCATGGCCTTCTCCCCATTGGGCAGGGGCTCAGATAGTTAGTCGAGGCTTTCAGAGAAGGGGACAGAGCCAGCCTGGGCCACGGGTTCCACCTCAGGGTCCTCAGGGCCCGGGGCCCTGTTAGGAGTCTTTGCCCACGGGTTTGTCCACACGCAGAACTCGTGACTGACACCTGCAGCTCCAGTTCGCCCGGGGGGTTTGAAGATTATTTGCTCAAAACTGGATAGAAAAGAAAGACGGAACCTTTCTCAGTGAAATCATGTCTGGCCTTAAGTGAAATGGCTCCTTGAGGCTTTGGAAATTCTTTAAACATTATTTCCTTTGCAAATCTCATCTTCTATCATTCATGGCTCTGTCTTAAAAAATAACCAGCTGCCTGCACAAGAGAGAGTTGAGCACAAAGGAGACCTCGCGTCCACACCCGGGGTGCCAGCCCACACCGTGTGCGTGCAGGGCACAGTCTGCCGGGGAGCAGGCTTGTTTAGGGTCTGACAGTGGGGCATGGAGCACGCTGTGGCGTGGCCCCTGACTCTGCTGGCGTCCACCGTGTGTCGGATGGAGAGGGGCTGACGGACACATTTTCCCCTTGGGGAGGAGAGGAGAGCTGAGAGGTCTGGAAGAAGTGAGGGCACATCGGTCAAGTTCAGGCCGCCTAGTGGAAGTGCAAGGGCTGACCCTGGAAGCTGCGGGCACGTTTGCAAGTCCGAGGGCGGTGGCCACGTGCGGCCGGGCTCTCCCCGGCAGTGACTAGCCTCCAGCTGGGCACTGGGAGCCCCCTCCCAGGTTTCCTCAGCACAGTCCCCTACCCGATGGCAGGTGGGTGTGCGGGTAGCTTGGCCAAGCTCAGCCCCCTACGAGAAGTTCAGGGATTAATCTGGCCAACTTTTCATGGTCTGAGCACACGTTTGGGTCAGGATTTTAAGCCGCTCTGAGTAAAGACCTCTGAAGACAGTGAGCACCTCCCGTGGGCGGGTGAAATGCTACAGACAGTGTCACAGGGGAGCCCACGTCGCAGGTGTTTGGGTGTCTGCTAAATCAAATCCTTGGGCTCGCCTGCTGTCCACGCACGCACTGTGGGTTTCCAGAATTAGAAAGCTGTTACATGCTACGTTTGGCGCATGATCTTGCATTCGTTTCTGACTTTACAAGCTTCCATGCTTTTTTCAGACACATCCGGGGGGACAGCAAACCATGACAACAGGTGCAGTAAACATGTCATAAGTGTGAAAGCCACATGGCATCACCACTTAACCTCGGTTTATGTGTTTGCTTTTCTCCCAAAACAGCAGCACTTTGAAGACAGGCTGCGTGGGAGAGGGTGTGAAGAGAGGGAGTAGGGAGGGCACAGCGAAGACGGTTTCGGTTTTTAGATTTGGAGCCTGAGACGCTTAGAAAATATTTGTGAAGCAGAGGGTGGGTGGGTGGTGGAATGTGCAGGGCGGGTGGATGGATGGTGGATGGAGGATGGTGGATGGATGGTGGATGGAGGATGGATGGATGAATGGAGGATGATGGATGGTGGATGAACAGATGGAGGATAGATGGATGGAAGGATGGAGGATGGATGGTGGGTGGATGAAGGATGGATGGATGGATGGAGGATGGATGGTGGATGGAGGATGGATGGTGGATGGATGGTGGATGGATGGTGGATGGATGGTGGATGGAGGATGGATGGCGGGTGGATGGATGGAGGATGGTGGATGGAGGATGGATGGTGAGTGGATGGAGGATGGTGGATGGATGGTGAGTGGAGGATGGATGGATGGTGGGTGGATGATGGATGGTGAGTGGAGGTACGGGCTAGGATGGTGGATGGATGGTGGATGGAGGATGGATGGCGGGTGGATGGATGGAGGATGGTGGATGGAGGATGGATGGTGAGTGGATGGAGGATGGTGGATGGATGGTGAGTGGAGGATGGATGGATGGTGGGTGGACGATGGATGGTGGGTGGAGGTACGGGCTGGGTGGGTCGTGGGTGGGGGTAGGGGGTGAGTGACCGTACTTTGCGTCCAAGGCTGTGCGCTCTAACGGCCCCTTCCCCAGCGGCACTGTGGCGGAGCTCGTCCCTGGCCCAGCTCTCACGCTGCTGCTTCGCTCTTCCAGGGCTCCGTTGGGTTTCCTGGATTTCCCGGCGCCAGCGGCGAGAAGGGAGGCAGGGTAAGGACAGCCCGGCGCGTGTTCTGTGGCCTGTGTTTAGCGGGCGGCTTCCTCAGTGCGTCCCAGTCGCATCTCGCCCTCGGGGCCGCCCACACTGCTCTCCAGAATGGCTGACCTAGGCTGGTGGCCATCAGGAGGGGCCGCAGGTGACGGGGCGAGGCTGCGGAGAAGACAGAGCTTTCCAAACACGCCCGGCCCGACAGCCCTGCAGGCCGTTGGCGCGACCCAGGTTCTTATCTTTCTCCGGTGGCTTTTCCTCCGGGCCGGTTTACTGTTGTGCAGCTCACCATGTCCGCGGGGCCACAGTCGGGGTCCCCCATCCCACCCCGTGTCATCACTGAGCCGTCACAGCCGCTGTCCCTGGGGCTGCCGTGCCTCCCTCGGGGACACAAGGACAGGTGATCACAGGCAGTTGTTGGGGAGACCGTGATCGTGGCACCTGGTCACAGCGGCGGTCGCTGGGACCTGGAACTCTGGTCTGGGTTAGGTCACAAAGAAAACCGAGGAGCAGGGTGTCACCGGGAGCCCCAGACGGGCCTGGTGGCTGAGGCCGTCTTTGCTCCCTGAAGCTGGGGCCCGTGGGTTTAGGTTGGAACCGAGAGCCACTCATGCTGCAGGACGGAAACGACCAGGTCGCGGTGGTGCGAGCTCGGGGCTGGGAGTCTGGGTTTTGGCGGAGGGGGGGCCGAGAAAACGTGGCAGCCACGTTCAGCCGCACCTGCCGGGGTCACCGGGGTTGGTCCCAGCGTCTGCCCTGCGAAGAAAGCAGGCGTCTCCTGGATCTTTCACCGCAAGTATTCATTGGAAGCCAAAGGATTTTGCCGTAGAATGAAGGGCAGCGAAACCAGATCACGTTGTTGAAAAGCGACATAATTGCCTCATGGGCATAAGTAGCTTTATTAAATTCATTTTAGAACGGAAGACCCTGGCAGCAAATGAGTGAAAGATGGTGGGGAGAAACCCATCAGGTGGCCTTGGGCAGCAAAGGTTCGCCTCAGGCTTTATCGTCGGAAACCAGAACAAAATTCTGGAAAGCGAATCGAGAGGTGGCGGCGACACGGGCCCCTGTCCCAGCCGCTACGTCCCCACGCACTCGGGAAGCCGTGTTCGCCAGCCGTGTGTCTGCTTCCGAAATGAAAAACGCCACGTATCTGCGTCCTGTGGCCTGGAAAATGCAAAACAAGAACAATAGCGAAGGAGCCTGAATTCTGTTAGAAGAGAAGCAGGCGATGCCCGGGCAGAGGATTTATGTGTTAAATCACAAGTGCTCCGGTCTGCAGAGCCTGCTGAAAATTTAACGGCTAATATTCCCAACTGCAGCCACAGTAAATTACATGTGGCAGGGTTGACTTTTTCCTCTTTTCCTGCAATAATGGGCCCCCACCCGTGGTGAGCCGGCCATGAAGTAGGGGCGGGGGGAGCTGCCGGGCTTGGGGATCGGAAGCCAGATGTCTGCGGTAGCATCCGTCAGACCGCGGGAGGAAACCGATGTCGGCGAGCCCTGTGCGGGAGCCCAGAGTCTGCGTGTCGGGGACCGTGAACGCCCTCCCCCCGAAAACCTGTTAGAGACGCAAGGCGTCCTTCCTGGCTTCCTGGTGTCGTGCAGCCTCCTCCTAACCCAGGAGAGTCAGTGACGGGCGGTGACGGGCGGTGACGGGCGGACCTCCAGTGACTGACCGGCCTGCCTCTTCTCTGTTGCAGGGCACACCTGGGAAGCCAGGACCTCGGGGACAGCGAGGCCCCACGGTAACTGGCCTTCGGGTGGAGGGCCTCCTTCCAGACACAGGAGCCTGTCGCAGGGGGCGTGCCCGGGGGTGGGGGTGGTGGTCTCTGGGAGTCAGGGGGCAGGGGTTCGGGCTGACCTCCCCTCTCTCTGTCTGTCCAGGGTCCGCGGGGTGAGAGAGGCCCTCGGGGCATCACTGGGAAGCCCGGCCCCAAGGTACGTCTGGGTCTCCTCTGTGGCTGTGACGCCTGTGCCCGGAAGGGGACCCGCAGGCCCTTTCTCGTTTGAAACAGCAGGAAGCTTTATGGGGTGCTTAGAAGGGCTCCCCCTCCCGTAGCTTTTAGACGTGTCAGGCCCGTGGAGTGCCAGGCAGCGGCAGGAGGGTGCCGCCCCACGCTGGGGCTTACGAGTCGGCAGCCCCGGGCCCAGCCGAGCAGACACGTGCCCCATCCAGGTGGTGGGGGGGCCTCAGTGCTTGTCTCGAAAAGGGATTTGAGAGCTGCAGAGAGATCTTTGTGAAAACCTAAAGGAAGTCCCTTCTGCCATGGGCGAGGGCTGGGGCCTGTCCCCACATCCTTCCGCCACTGCGGGGCATTGACACCGGCTCCTCCAACTGTCAGTGTGGAGACGGACCCCCGCCCGGTCCTGTCCAGGATGTGACCCCACAGTGCCCTCCCGCCAAGGAGACGGACCTTTTGGTGGGCTGGGGTCCCGAGCTGGCCCGCCTGGAGGCTGCCACGCTTTCTGCCATGATGAGCTCTGGCCGCATGGCACGTGCCCTGGAACCAGACTGGACAGTCACTGGGGACAGCGAGTAACGTGGTGGCACAGCCGTCGCCACATGCCTTGTGGGCCCCGGTCCAGACAGTGTCCCGTCCTCTCCCGCGCCTTGGTGTGTGTCGTGGTTGGAGCACGGCCATTGCACCACGGCAGGAGGCTGCCCTCCTCCCGGGCACGTCACAGCCCTGCCGGTGGCAGCTCGTTGTCAGACGCGTGTGTAGACGCGAGAGGACAGGCACCCGTGGGGAGCCGTGGGTCTCTGGCGTGCTCCCTTTGAGATCTGGGTGAGCTACAGAAGGCCACGCGCAGAGTGTGACTCCAAAGGTCTGACGACGTCACAGTGACCTCATCTTGCTTCCCCCAGGGCAACTCCGGAGGTGACGGCCCAGCTGGCCCACCAGGCGAACGGGTGAGCGTCCCGACATGGCTGCTTCGATGTCTGGCTGCCTGTCCTCCAGGCGCGGGCTGGGGACAGGGGCCCACCGTCCACCTGCTGGAGGAGGGGGTTTTCCTGAGATCTGGAGCTGGAGCAGACGAGCTTCTCTGAGAGTCACGCCTTCGGTTGGGGGACGGTGGCCATCCCGTCCACTTGGCCCTGGTCTTGGGGACTTGGAGGTGGCTGGGACATTGGGAACGTAGGTCCTCAGCCCCGTGCCGTCCTGAGGGCCTGGCCCCTCGGCCCTGACCAGGCCTCCTCTTTGCTGTGACGAGGGCAGCGGCCGGGAACTGCAGAGAGGAGGGGCTGGGGGCAGAGAGGCTCTGCCGTGCTCAGAGCCTCCGGAGACGTGGGGGGAGCCGCCGGCCCCACATGCTGCAGGGAGGATGTCTGTCCTCAAACTGGCTGTTCTCTGTCCCCAGGGACCCAATGGACCCCAAGGACCTACGGGGTTTCCTGGACCAAAGGGCCCCCCTGTAAGTAATGCATTTTCCTGGTTTGGTTCGTCTGACATCAGGGGTTCCTAGGGATGCTCGTCTTCCCCAAGGGCCCCACACAGCCTCCCAGCGGGACGTGGGCTTGGGTCAGCATGGGGAGCGAGCCCCCTGGGCTGTGGCTGCTGACGGGCAGCCTGTGGCCGTGTCCACCCACTGGACCCTCCCGCACTGGGGACACCTCAGGAGCATGACCACTTTCTCACTTAGACCGTCATGGTTTTCTCGTTGGGTTCTGTGTGACTGACCTTGGGCTGTCACTCGAAGCAGCAGGAACGTGCCCCCCGCAGGCTCCGGAGCCCAGAGTGCCGAAGCCCGGGTGCAGGCACAGCTACTCCCTCCCGGAGGCTCTGAGGGGGCCTGTCCCACGCCCCCTCCCAGCTCCTGGTGGCTGCTGCCCATCGACCTGCGGACCCTCCGCCCCGATCTCTGCCTCCGCCCCGATCTCTGCCTCCGCCCCGATCTCTGCCTCCGTCTTCACGCGGCCTCTGTGGTCTCTCTTTATATCTCC